ACCTCTTTGTATGGCAAGATCATCTACATATAAAGTAATATGTGCTCACTAGCATTTAGTAGTGTTATTCCATCAAATTCCAGTATGTTTCAGGTCTTTTAAAAGTAAGTGCCTTTGTTTGCACCTTTGAGTTTTTTTTGATGAGGTTTAAGCTTTGCTTGAGATCCTAAACCAGGCCTCTAAAGCTTGTGAAATTTGAGCCTTACCCTGCATATTACTATACTAGATATAGATTTAGTTTCTGTTGTTGTTATAAAATATTACTATTGTATACAGTGACGACCTAAAATATTGCAACAGACTACAGAGGGGTGTTAAGATTCCTCAATATCTCCATGAATATTACCGATGGCTAAACACATTTTATATGATTTCTAAACTAGATCACTAGCTGTATTTTTCAAGATACCAGTTTGTAGCATAATGTGCATGCTGAAAGGATATATCAAAAATAGCTGAAAGCATTCATACTTAATATATATTCTGTAGTATAATACACACTGTAGAAAGAAATTGACTCCAAATATATTAAAATGGAGCTAGTCGTATAGTATGTGTAAAAATATAATAGTGTAATTAGATATCCATTTGAATGAACTGTAGAGCATATCACGTTGACTTGTTTTTCTTGTAGAAGTTGACACATATCTAACTCCACAATGTGAAGAGGGAAGTTTCCCAAAATCTTTTTACACTATGTACTTTACTAGGAGAGATTTATAGTGGTAAAATGAAAGAACTCTAGCCTCTTATCATGTTTGAAGTATATGAGTATACACTGTTGTATGTTGCAATAAATGTAATATGCTCTATAGTTCATTCAAATGGATATCTAATTACACTATTATATTTCTACACATACTATACAACTAGCCCCATTTTAATATATTCAGAGTTAATTTTCTTTTACAGTCTGTATTATAATACAGAATATATATTAAGTATAAATACTTTCAGCTATTTTTGATATACCCTTCAGCATGCACATTATGCTACAAACTGGTATCTTGAAGAAATACAGCATAAAATGTGTCCAGCTGTCGGTAATATTCACGGAGATATTGAGGAATCTTAACACCCCTCTGTAGTCTGTTGCAATACTTTAGGTCATCACTGTAAACACTGACATTGATGTCATGAGCAAAAGATTCATACTAAGGCAGTGCAAATAATAGAAAGAAGTTTTGTAGTACGACAAGGAATGAAGAAATTGTACCCGACGAGCACCTGTGCTGGAGCCCACATCATCCTAGTTGTTATTATTATTTATGTGATAGGCACATCATTCATAACCTTCATATAATAAAATGATGAAGGATTGCTGTCAACATATTTTGCAATGTGATAAAGTGATAAATACTGCATATAGCTCTACAGTGGCTGCCAAAAATAACACACAACACTACAAAGGGATGTTATAATCCCTCTGTATCTCCACAACCACTGTACCTAATCCAATAGTGTATATACAAATACTATACTAGGCTACTATTAGCATCCTTCTGAGGTACTCCTTTGATGCAAGCACCAGGTGCCAGAAAAAATGTAGTGAAAATGGCTGAAACATGAATATATATTGTAAATTTCATAAAATGACACAGACCCCAGAGTAAAGTATGGTTAGGTTTTAGTAAAATTTTATGCTGTATGATGTTACTGTAACAAAATTAGAACATGGTAACAAAATTGGATGAATGAGCTGTGGAGACAGTTACATTGGTATGTTTTACCAAATAAATCTGTATATTTATATCTCTACAACACTCAGGAATAGAGATACAAAATTTGCTGTATGGAATAATCTTTACTAGCAGATACATTCAGTATACCACTATGGATATTCCAGCTGCTGGTGATGTCTATAGAATACAAGCATACATCTCTTTATTTTGTAATGAATTCAGTTGTCACTGCAGCTCATTCATCCAATTTTTTTATTATGCTCTAATTTTGTTACAGTAACATCATACAGCATAGGATTTTACTAAAACTTAACCATATTTTACTCTGAGGTCTGTGTCATTGTATAAATTTTACAATATTTATTTATTTTTCAGCCATTTTCACTACATTTTTTCTGGCACCTGATGCTTGCATCAAAGTGATACCTCAGAAAGATGCTAATAGTAGCCTAGTATAATATCTGTATATACACTATCTGGCTAGGTACAGTAGTTGTGGAGATACAAAGAGATTACAACACCCCTTTGTAGTGTTGTGTGTTATTTTTGGCAGCCACTGTAAGTCTTATATAAATGGTGATATCTGAGTTATTATTATTCATATTGCAGGATAAAAGAAATGAAGAAATTGTACCACTGAGCATATATGCTACAGCCCACATAACTCTAGCCAAAAAAGAGTATATTTGAGTGTAGTAAACTATTACTGCATGTACTTGCCAAATTATAACCTCTAGAAAACCTACATCTGGAAAACAATTCAAGTTGCAATGAAGTCCACAAGTACACACCTACAGCAGACACCAAATGTTGGCACACAATTGTGCTCAGCAGAAACTGTTAATTCTAAAATATTTATATTTTGTCTTGTATATACATACCAAATCGCTCGCACCTTATTCTGAACTCAGAGAACAGTAAAAAGGCTAGTGCACCCAAGCCTAATCCAAGCTGAGGCTTCTGAGCCAGGCTTGGGTTTGACTATACTCTGAGTCTGATCTTGAGCTCACTGCCAAGCTTGACTTAGGCCACACTTTTTAGGCTGGGCTTGGAGGGCTCATAGACTTGGAGGCCCAGCTCGCACATCACAATCTCTTACTGTTGAGCCTTAGCTCCAACCTATAGTTATTCTTGCCTACCCCTTGTAGTTGTCTGTCCTAGTCTCTGACAGACCTGTTCTGGCTGTAGCTGGTGTTAGAGTGTGATTATCACTGACAGTTTGAACATGAAGGTGAATGAATTGAGATGGCCAGCGGGAAATCTAAGCAGTGAAGGTCTAATGCATTCAAAGCTAGCTTAGACTTGAAATTATAAGCAAGTTGGAAGCAAATCTGAAAGGTTAAAAACCTTGGAACCATGATCTTAGAAGAATTTGATCTTGAAAAGAATGGTTGGAAATCTATAGAGTAAGCGATATTCTGATGCAGAGAAGAAGATTACTTCCGGCAAAAGGCTCAGAATTAAATGGGGTTTGTGGAACAGATGTTTTGGCTCGTTCTTGGGGGAAAGAAAGGCATTGGGAATTAAGAAATGCCATCAGTTCGAGGACATTTCTTGGTGCTTATGCAATTTGCTTTCAAAATCTCTTAGTAAAGAGCAAACTGTGTGTACTATGTAGTCTGGTTAGACAACTCAGTAAGCTATGGTGTTCTCATGCATTTAAGCAGCTAAGTGTACATGAGACAGATGCAGCATAGCATATAAACTAGCTCATTCAATATCCAATCTTCACCTAAACTCTAATTGTACTCAAGAGATCATCATCACAAGCTTTTACCAGGCAGTGCAGCATTAAGCAAATACAAACTAATCTTACGAGCATAGGCTAATAGGTTAAAAGGCTTATAATTAATACAATAGATATTATAATTAATAAAATAGATATTTACACTCATAAACTATGTATCTTACATCTTTGTATGGCAAGATCATCCACATCTAAAGTAATATGCGATCACCAGCATTTAGTGGTGTGACTTCATCAAAGTTCAGTATGTTCCAGGTCCTTCAAAGGTAAGTGCCTTTATTTGCACCTTTAAGTGTTTTCTGGTGAGGTTTAAGCTTAGCTTGAGGTTCTGAACCAGGCTTTTTAAGGCTTGTGAACTTTAAGCTCAGTCCTGCATATTATTATATTAGATATAAAGTTAGCTTCTGTAATTGTAAGGTATTACTATTGCATACACACTGCCATTGCTGTCATGAGCAAAATATTCATATTAAGGCAGTGCAGATGATGGGGAGAAATTTTGTAATAGCAAGGAATGAAGAAACTGTGCCCGCAGAGCACCTGCACTGCGGCCCACATCACCCTAGTCCAGGGTGGTTATAGTGAGAGGAACATCTATCTGATTGCCTTGGTGCCCTTTTATAAAGCACTTAGATTTAGCTAGCTCCTGTAGAGCTTCCAGTGCCAGTTCATCTTCTGGAGCAGCAATCTTCTGAAGGACTTCATGTGTAGCCTCTTGTAGGTGTTTCTTGTGCACCCATCCATGAAGCACATCAATTGACCGATTTGTTTTCTCTTGAATACAATGGAGAGTCCAGAGGCAGCTGAATGAAGCAGCGTACATAGACCTCAGAGACTTCTTCTCAAAGTTATCTTCATCTCCCTGACTCTTAGGTTGCAATTCTGAGCTGTTTGATGTATGAGGAATCAAGCACGAGTTTTGCTCGCCCTGCTTCTTTGCAGGAGTCGCCTCTTCCATCTTAAAACTTGCACAGCTAGAATAAATAGAACTGGAACTACAACAGCCAGAGTCTTGCTTCTGTTCCGAGGGTACCAATAAGGGAGATTTTACTGGGACCCTTTGCCAAAACCTTCAGTGGTCTTGGACTCATCTTCTTTGTTCTTAATTCTGTTCAGGACTTTCTTCAACTCGTCCACTTGTTCCTCAAGTGATGATACCATCTGCCTTGCCTCCAGTCCAGACTTGCAAGGACAAAACCTTGCTTGGTGACCCTTCTCACCACAGCTAAAGCAGAGCTTTTTCCACCTTGCTTTATCTACATCCATAGGTTGACCATGCCATTCAAAAGTGAGACCAGTCCCATCATGCCAAGTGGGTATATTCAAGGTTACCCTGGATGAGTTTCCAGTCGCATCTGCCTTTTTGTGCTCGTTCTCAGAGCTTTTCTTCATCTGCTGAGGCTGTGCCTGCTTGGCAGCCTTTCTGAAGAGTTGCATCTCCTCAAACTGTCTCCATTGTCTGTCCAGCTTACAATCACATGCCTTCTAATTAGCTAGGTCTGTAGGCATGTGTTCGAGGCAATAGATGGAAGTAGCAAGACCTGAACAAATCCCAAATTCAAACTGGTCCTTCAGTGCCTTGTCATTCCATGAATATAGGACTTATATTCTTCAAAGGCGACAATGTACTCGTCAGCACTCATGGATCTCTGCTGCAGCTTGTCAACTGAATTGACAGTGGGATCAGCAGCACCAAATAAAATCTTCAACATCTCTTCAAAGTCTTGCCAAGAGATATACATGTAGGTACCATCCATTCCATGTTGCATCATAAAGCGTCTAGCCCAAGCTTGAGCTTGGCCAGCCTTCATATAGAACAGGGCATAGGTGATATGATCATCTTCATCTTGGTAGACATTGGTGTCAGCCCAGAAGACAAGGCAAAGTTGATGAAGGAAGGCATCAAGCTTAGACTCAGAACCATCAAAGGTGTCTGGCCTAGCGGCGTCAACCTTCTTTTTCTTTTGAGAAAGGTGGGCAGCTTCAAGGAGGATACGATTATGAGCAGCTTGAACTTGACTCTTCAAACATTCTTCATAGCCAACCCTGGGGTTGTTGTTGTTCTGTGCCAGAGCTTGAATCTGGGCGTGCAGCTGGGTGATCACATCTGAGTCATCTACTTGCATGACATTATGAGTAGCACCAGGCATAGCTGCAGGTTCCTAAGAGGCAGGAACAGAGAATAGGGGTTGAGGTATAAGAAGAGACAACAAGGATGCTAAGGAGTACATCCTTAGGGGGTGAACAGCTGGATGTTAAGGCAAAGCTGCAGTGTAGCTACTAGAAGCCTTGAGCTTATATCAGTGACGACCGCACTTCAATACTAACAACAGCTAGCGCAGCTCTGCCAGAGGGTAAGACAGGCAACTATAAGGGATAAGCAAAGATAACTATAGGCTAGAGCTAAGACTCAACAGCAAGAGACTGGGGGTAGAAGGAGCTGAACTCCTGAGGGGCAAGGCAGTCAAGAGTGATGGTCAGAGTAAAGACCAGCTCAAGGCTGGAGATCTTATTCCAGAAAGTTTGCAGCCTTATATACCTTACAGGATAGGTACTGTACAGTATTACCTAAGCACACACTCACCTGCTTCAAAGTCCTATATAGGAGCTAAGTCAGAGCCTGACAAAGCCTGAAAAAGCCTAACTCATATAGGGGCTAAGTCTGGACTGGGCCTAGTGCTGGCTGAGTCAGTATAGGTGTTGAGAGGTAAAAATAAGGGAAAGGGATGAGAATAGGAGAGATGTAGAGATAGGGGTAAAAGAGTGAAAATAAGCAGAAATAAGTAAAAATAGGTGGAAATAGAGGTTAATTCATGACAATGAGCATCTCTCACACGTGCGGGATAATAATACACGTGCCTTAGCGCTCGGGTCTCCACTTGGTAAAGGGGGTTAAATACTGGAGTCTACCTAGTAACTTGGGACTGTCTGGCAAAGTCATAGCTGGGATGGGAAGAAGGGTCTCTGTGGGATCTGGCATCTGCAGAGATAACCTGACCACTGCCAAATATAGAAGTTGAGCTCCCTCCCTCGTGTCTGATTGTGGTTGGGCACATCGGTGTGGGACCCGTGGGGGTGCAGCTGATTGGTACCGGTTCAGCCCCAGACTGATTCGATCCTGCATGGGTTAAAAATGGATCCCAGCTTCTCTCCAAAGGGTCTCTTCGGAGATAGGCAATGATAAGACGGGGCACAGCATTAATAGCAACCCGATAAGAGCACTCCTCACCATTGATTCCCTTGAGAAGCCAATTCAGTGGTCGTTAGTCACATGTTAATCCTCAGCTGTCACCAGGGTCGTGTGTGACAAGACAGAGATCTGTGTACCATGGGGATCCGAGCCCAGAGGTGGCAATTGAACCCGGTGCATGGGAATGGGAAACCAGGTGACTCTGATGAAGGAGAGTCACATGAGGTACACTGATGATATAGGGGAAGAGTGATCTCTCTAGGTAGGCGTCTCGCTGGCAGGCTGTAGCGGATCATGATAGCTCTCTGACACCAGCCTGAGAGGCCTAAATCCACTGTTGGTCAGCCCGAGATAATAACCTGGTTGCCAGTTTAAGGTGATACTGCGAAAGGTGTGAGGTGTGGTGGTACACTAAGGATCACGAAGGCAAGTATGCCTCTTCCCGGCCCGATGTAGAGGAGATGAAGCTGATGCCGGCAATGGCAGCCTTGTTCACGCTCTTTGACCATTAACCACCACCAACTAGCTTAGACGCCCACTCCGCCTGAGGTGACTCACCCATTGTTCTCCACTCTTTGCTACGCATTTTCCCTCTCCCTTTCCTGATCACTAATTTCTATCTGTTATAGGAGCTGCCGGTAGTCCAGTGTGATACTGGACATGCCGGTTATGATGTCACATTGTCATCCAGGGCTGAGGGTGTGCAGTGAGGCGTCAGGCCTCGATGCTGAGCCACTCTCAGCTCTTCCAAAGCTCGTACCCCTACACGAGCAGTTCTGGCATCATGGTGTGTGGCCACAAAACAGTGGAACTCATGTCAGGGGGACGCTTTGCACAAACTACCCCCACTCGTAGAGCGAGGGGGGAATCTTGATGGGGGCTTTCTCATAAAAGCCCAAGAGTGGGTTGACCCCCACCCATCAGACCCTGCCATGTGTCCGTAGGACACATGGCATACCTTTTTCTTATTGGAGGATAAGGCATGAACTTATCAATAAATCAGAGCTTACGCATGCTCTGAAGGTTGAATTATGTAATCAATTACATGTCAATACACTGTGTGAACCAATAAATGGCCCACTTGGTAAATTTAAATATATCATTAACTCTGATTGTGATGAGATAACAGCATGCCAGCCATGACTGTTATTATGTGCAGATAAGAGCATGGGTATTTTATACCCCATTTATACCATAACTCCATCATTGATTATATGAGTAAAATAATTAATGATAACTGCACAGGACCGAAAGACCGTGTGAGAAAAGTGTCACCAGATTGGCAATTTGACTTTCTGGGTGTCGAACAAGATGTACCTCAGCCCGAGGTGCAAGAAATGATACATCTCCTAGAACATGATGAGCCATGGGAGAATGTTAGTGCAAGGATCGCAAGACCCTTAGTATAATCTGTCTCCAATGTTCCTCAGCTGTTGTCATCTACATTGCCAACAGCAGCACCTTGAAGGAGGCATGGAACATCCTCCGGAACACCTACACAAACATCAGTGTTATGTCAAGAATCACCCTACTGAAGAAGCTTCAGAAGGCAGACATTGCGGAGGGGGCAGCCATGGAACCGGCTATCTGGCAGCTATCTCAGCTACACCAACAGCACAACATGATGGGCGGTCTGATATCAGACATAGAGTTCGCTCAAATCATCTTAGCCGCGCTTCCTTCTTCTTGGAACCCGCTCGTTAATTCTATTCAGACAACTGCGACCTCTACTGAGGTCTTCACTAAATTTTTTGCACTATTAATTGTAAGTTCAATATATATTCAGTGATAGCTTTTCTTTATTTCTATATATACTGCAAATAAGGAGGAAAACCTGCTACCTCCAGAGTTAGATATTGATGTGTTATGCAAAGAAGCAGAATGCTGACACTTTGATGATGATCAAAACATGGCAGATGATGTACCACCTGTGGTTAAACCAGGACTGGTCATAGTCACATATAACACACAATGTTTGAAAGAAAATTTTTCCACATTCCTTGAGCGACATTACAAGGACGTGGACATTGTCCCAGTCCAAGAGCCATATCATGGATATGTCAAGCAAGTAGTGTTCTATACAGACAAGGAAAGAGATGAATATGAGGAAGATGTCACACACAGACAATTCACGTTCCTCGGTGGAGGAAAAGATTCAAGGGTGCCGACATGTATCAACAAATGAATTGCACACATAGGACCCTGGATAAATCCAATAGTGATTAAACACCGAGATATTCACTGTATGGAGCTCTCACTCCCGAACGGTGGTAGACTAAGCATAGTGAACGTCTACAATGATCCGGATGACCACGCTGCACAGAGCTACCTAGTGGACCATGTCGAACAACTTACAGAAATTAATGTCATGGCGGGTGACTTCAATCACCATCACGAAATGTAGGACATTACCAGGAAAGCTAATAGAAAGGCCGACGAGCTAATAGCTATGGCCAGCCTAGAAATGAACATGATTTTGGTTCAGGACATAGAACGCCGCCCAACCTGGTCGTCCAATTGCGAGAACCAATCAGACAGAGTATGAGATTTATTCTGGGTTAACAGAAGCATGATGCTCACCAGAAACCCCATAGTAAAAATGGTTGAATGGAGAATGAGTGATTACGCACCAGTGTTCCTTGAGCTTGACATAGAGGTTGTTGAGACCGAGTGATACACGGTGAAACAAGGCTCCGAAAGTGGAGCCAAGTTTGTCAAAGAAATACGATTGAGGCTGAACCAACTCCCCAAGTATGAATCAGACTATGTGTCCCAGAAAGACATAAAGAGATGGGGAGAGTGGATAGACCACTCGTTCTCAAAGGCATGGAAGAATCATGCAGAGAAGTGTAAACCGACCAGACACTCAAAGTTTTGGTGGAGCATGGACTGCACGAAATGTAACCAAGAATTACAATCCTCACGTAAACACTTTATGAGGGCTAAACACACGTTGAGAGGCTTGAGACACGAATTACATCGAGCATGTAACCATGTCATACACGAGGGAATCAACCCCAACGAGGACAAAGAGCTTCAGACTCTATTAGATGGGAGCTCCATGTCGGAAAAAAAAATCAGACGCTCATGATAGAGAGCGCTCAACTGCTCTCGCCGAGGCTCTCACGATGCGCGTGCGAGATTGTCTAACCACTCAGTTGATCTCAAAAACAATCACGATGCAGGTAATTGGCATCTTGCTTGATCAGAATGTGTCTCGCCCTGCCCCGGAGACTTCATGTGCACAACACTCGACGACTAGAGCAGAACTGTGTTTCCCCTCTCTGGTACAGCCTTTAGAACTCACGTGCAAGGACCAACAAATCAACTAGAACTCTTTAGGCTGTAAGTACTGGTTACTGCTGAATGTTTCTGCCGCTTCAGCTAACCAGGTGAGTACAGAACTGCCATTTGCTAAACCGGCATGACCAGCCGTGGTTATCACAAGCAGAAGGCATCTCCACAATGCGGATACTGTGACAAGACCTTCAAGTCAACACGGGGTTTCTTCCAACATGAGAACTCTTGTCGGGCTAAACGCGAGCATGAATGGCAAGATCAACAAGCCATACAGACGATCTTAGAGCATGAGCGAGAAAGTAGGAGAACAAAGAGAGGTGTGTAATTTGAATCTCATTTACTGGTCATATTCTGATGCTGCATAGCTCGCATTCAGCGTTCTTCACCACTGATGCTGCCTAATGAGCAGCCTGCATTCATCCAAGGCATGTACCATTCCAGGTCTTTTCTCCAGGTTATTATATACCTGAATGTCATATCTGGGTACATTAAATGCAGAAAATCAAGAAACAGCACAGGAGCATCTCTGAATTCTCCATCATCTTTGCCTTTCACTGCATCTC